TCCCGGGCCCGTGAACTCCACCGCCCGCCTCCCGCACTCACAGGCCGGAGGACCACGCGCCCGCTGCTGCCGGCCTCCCGGCGTGCCCATGATCACCCTGTGCCTTTCGGCTGTGCGAGGCCTCCACAGGTAACTCCAGTGGGTGGGTTAACCTTGACCGTGGGCAGGGTGGGGTCGTCTGTCAGCGAGTGCCACGGGGCCTGATGCAGCCCTATTGCACCCCTGCGATGCACCTGGGACTGTCCTTTCCCTCTGCCTGCTTGGTGGGTCCCGTAGGGACACCTGGCACAGCAACCTTTCGCTCCTGGCTTCCCTCAGGAGGCCATCCTTTCCCCTTTGTTTGGGATTGCTTCAGCGGCAGTCTGTGAGAATGGTGGTTCACACACCCAACCCAAAATAAAAACCAATAGACAGGCCGACGTTCCCTTCAGAATTGCAGACCTGATATAGAAAGTGCCGCAGCTGGGGACTCGGGAATAAAGCATTTTCATATGCACCTCATGCACATGTTAGCGTTCCGGGCGATTAATATACACACCTGGGACCGTTTTGATTTTGATACTTATTTCCGTCCTTGCTTTCTAACTCTATTTTTATTTTCTTCCTTCTCATAAAACATTCGGCCTCTTACCCTGGCAAATTGACTTGGCTCAGAATTGTTGCTTGGACACGGTTTGGGGCAGCCTAGGCTGCTGCTTCGAATTGCTTCCTTGCGCTGCTCTAACCACACCCCTCTCTGCTACGGACTAGTAGCAAAATGGTGAGAGAATTAAATTCTTCCCACGGCTTTCAGAAACAATGCCTCCACTTCCTCCGTTGCCAAATCTGCCCTACACTGCAATTTCAAGTGAGACTTCTGCAGGGAAAAAGGAACTTTGTGGTTTTTGTAGATGTGCACAAAACTGCTTTGAACCATCAACCATTTCTGCTTTTCCTAGTTTTCTGTTGTGCTTTGCCACTCATCTGCATGGATCTTTGTGTTCCTTAGTCCTCGCTGTCATTGTGCACCCAGGGGACAATAGTGATTCTGAAGAGTTCTTGTAGTGACTGGGACTATTATTTGGGCTGCATTTGTTGTTGTTTTTCTGGTCTCCTGGAAGGAAGAAGAGAATAAATTTCCATTATAAGGCAACTAGCACTCTTCTCTAACTTTTTTAATATCGGAATGCCTTTACCTTTCAAAAATTGCTGAAAACCTAAGAACATTAGTTTTGTTTCTGTCGATTCTATCTGCCCATAGTTAGCCATATAAAATTAAAACTGGGACAGTTTTAAGGATTAATGTGTTTATCAAATAGTAATAAATACATTACATGCATATTTTTCCATTTATCTGTCAGTGGACGATGAAGTGACAATCAAAATAGCTTGATTCCCACATAAACCTCTACATTTAATCAGTTTCTTTGTTTTATTTTTATTTAAGAAGGAAATTCTAACATCATGTTCATATGTAATTGAAAGGAGAATATTTTAATAGCTTCCTGTGGTAACCATGGGCAAATATCACACCAAAGTTGGATAGATGGTGGTTTTTAAAGGGTAGGGTGTAGAGTGGAATGGGGAGTGTGTACACTGTGTTCTTCTTACTGTACTACATTGAAATCCACTTGGTGTATCTTACATTCTGAATGGAGAATGTACTCTGCCTAATTTTGTAATATCAATCACAGTTCATTTGGAAATTGGTGACTTAGTTATGTAGTTCTGATTTTGACATATTTTGTTATATACTATCAAATGATCTTCCTCAATGTTGTTATCCATGTTATTAAAAGTCTTCAATGTTCACTGCAGTGAAATTCTGGTTTTCATTTGAAAGGTGGAATTTTATTAGTGATATATATTCTCATATTTTTTCCTTGAAGTGACAAGTTTCCTTTTGTTACTTTTCTGGGGATCTTTATTTATTTTACTTTTTGAGACAGGGTCTTGCTCTGTAAAGCCTGTGCTGGCCCTGAATTTATGATCCTCTTGTCTCAGCCTCCCAGTTGCTGAGATGACAAGCATGAGCCACCTCACACACCTGCTGTACTCTGTCGAATATTTTAAGTCAGAGCAACCTGGAATTTTTATTTGTTTTAAGTGCAGGCAATTGGACCCAGAGCCTCGCACTAACCAAGCAAGTAGAATAACAGCCAGAGTTGTTACACAGAGAAAACCTGTCTTGAAAAACCAAAAATAAATAAATAAATGTAGTATTATAATTAAATATAGTAACACATTTCTGTAATCTGAGATTGGAGACTGGGACAATAGGATCAAGAGCTGAAGGCCAGCCAGCCCAGGGTACATGATAAGACCTAGTTGCAAAACATTTTAGTTAAAAAAAAAAACAAAAAAAAAAACTAAAGAGTATTCCATGAAAAGAAAGGGAGAAAAAAAAAAGATATTTTGACACACAAGTCACTCACATACACAAATGCTTTGATTTGAGCAACTAGTTTCTCTAAAATACCATTATACTCAGGTGTTCAGAAGTATTGTATGTGTGCACTGCCATATGTACACACTGAAGGGTTGAGACTTTAAAAAGTATTTGTGTGCAGAGTTCTCCTATGTCCCAGAAGTCACTCCTAAATAACCACACAGAGATTTATTATTAATTATAAATGCTGAGCTGATAGCTTATCTCCGCCAGCTCTTACAACTTAAATTAACCCATTTCTATTAATCTGTGTGCTGCCCAAGGCTCATTTACCTCATCTGTGAACTTCTCATGTTGCTTCTACATCTAGCTGGAACGCCTCAGACTCTGCCCTTCTTCCCAGCATTCTCTCTACTCTGAAAATCTTGCCTAGCTATCTGCCAATCCTCTTTTTATTAACAATGATAGCAACACATTTTCACAGTGTACAGAAAGATTACAGCAAATATTTAGTACCTCAGCAAGAATATCCTGCAGTGCAACTACGATTCTTCTTAACATGAGTGGCCTTGGATTTGTCTACCAGTGGTAATGATAGTTTTTGAGTTTAAAAATGGCAAGAGATTATTCACCATTGCTTTTTGTTATCACTGAAAATATCTGTATGCCAAAATCAATGTGCTTCAGTATTTGGAAGATTTTCTTTTTCAGTAGATTTTTTTATTTAAATTAGAAACGATCTTGTTTTACATATTAATCCCAGTTCCCTCTCCCTCCCACCCTCCTACACCCCCAATTAACCCTCTATCCCAACTCCTTTCTGCTCCCCAGGGAAGGTAAGGCCTTCCATTTGGGGGAATCATCAAAGTCTGTCGCATCATTTGGAGCAGGGCCCAGGCCCTCCCCTTTGTGTCTAGGCTGAGAGAGTATCCCTCTATTGGAATAGACTGTCCAGGCCTCCTAACTGACACCCAAGTTCAGGGGTCCTGAGTCGGTCCTATGCTGGTTTCCCAGCTATCAATCTGGGGTCCATGAGCTCCCCCTTGTTCAGGTCAGCTGTTTCTGTGGGTTTCCCCAGCCTGGTCTTGACCCCTTTGTTCGTCACTCCTCCTTCTCTGCAACTGGATTCCAGGAGTTTGTCTCAGTGCTTAGCTGTGGGTGTCTGCTTCTGCTTCCATCAGCTTCTGGATGAAGGTTCTAGGCTGGCATATAAGGTAGTCATCAATCTCATTATCGGAGAAGAGCATTTAAGGTAGCCTTTCGACTATTGCTTAGATTGATAGTTGGGGTCATCCTTGTAGATCTCTGGACATTTCCCTATTGCCAGATTCCTCTTTAAACCTATAATGGCCCCCTCTATTATGGAATCTCTTCTCTTGCTCTCACTCATATATGGATATTAGACATAGAGTAAAGAATCTCCAGTCTTATGGATATATATATATATATATATATATATATATATATATATATATAATCCTCCTCCCCACTTCTCTTTCTCCTAACTCTCCCGCCCCTATGCTCCCAATTTGCTCAGGAGATCTTGTCCCTTTCCCCTTCTCTGGGGGACCATGTATGTCTCTCAGGGTCATCCTTGTTTCCTAGCTTCTCTGGTGGTGTGGATTGTAGGATGGTAATCCTTTGCTCTATGTCTAATATTCGAAGATTCTTAACCTCATACTCTACCTGGCCTGGTCTCAGGGTCCATTCTACAACCCTGTGACCTTAACTCTAAATGTAGAGAATTGCTGCTTGTGTATTGTATCCAGATTCTTCATTCATTCATGGAAATAAATAAATTGTTAAATTGTTAGAAGCTAGTGGTGTTGCATGTATGGTGGTGCATGGCTATTATCTCAGCATGTAATAGACTGAGTCAGGAAGATTGTGAGTTCAAGGCTATCTTGGGTCTCAAAGTGAGATCCTGCTTCAAAAGAAGAGGCAGGGGACAGGAGAGACTATCAGTAATCTACTATATCAACTCTTTTGTTGAAGACATAATAGCAGTTGGTCACTGGTAGTTGGAATAAGAATGACCCCCAATAGGCTCATATATTTGAATGCTTAGTTATCATGGAATGACACTATTTGAGAAGGATTAGGAGGTGTGACTTTGTTGGAGTGGGCCTTGAAGTTTCAAAACCCCGTGTCATGTCTAGTCTCTCTCTCTCTCTCTCTCTCTCTCTCTCTCTCTCTCTCTCTCTCTCTCCCCTCCCATTCTCCTTCCCTTCCTTCCTCTCCCCATCTCTACTTGGGGATCCAGGTAGCTCTCAGCACCACACCTATCTGCCACCATGCTGTCTGTTATGATAATAATGAACTAAGTCTCTGGAACTAAGGAAATTAAGTGCTTTCTAAGAGTTGCCTTGGTCATGGTGCCCATGGGGGGTTGGGGGTACAGGTGGAGGGGAACAGGTGGATCTCCAGAGATCCATGGCCAGCCAGTCTAGCTGAATTGGTGGGCTTCAGGTTCACTGAGAAACCCTGTCTCAAAAACTGGGATGTAGAGCAACGAGAAAGGTGTCCAACATTGGCTTCTGGCCTCCATAAGCAAACTCATGTACATACAAATATATATATATATATACCTTTATATACCAAAAAAATAAGTTATAACAAACCATCAAAATACACAAATGTGGTTTCTCTATACTTTTACCAACACCTCAGCATTTAAGTATTTTTTATCCTTACCAGTGTGAAAAATGAAAAGTTCTCATTATAATTTATATTTCCTTATTTTTTGTGATTCATTAGGTGA